TCTCTGTTTCAAGGCTTCAGGTTCTGTGTGCTCCAGTATTCATCTAGCCCGCATACATAGAGGTGTGAAGTGTGAGCTCTTCAGAGCAGAGACATTGGCGGTGCACTAAAATAGACGGCTATACATGAAACAGATGGCTAGGCGCTGAAATAGGAGGCTAATATAGAAACAGCTAAGATGCTATGCTCATGAACTAAACACGTCTGACAAAAAAAAAATGTCATGGTTGTTCTTTCTGCAGAACAATTATTTCTGCAGAATGGCAAGTCATACTCTTCCATAACAAAGCAGGAAGGACCTCGGTGAGATACTTTAATCATTTCACTTTATGTTGTTACAGCTTTCCCCACCATTCCTGACCTTCTGATCCACCCAGAACACGACCCCACACCACTCATGTTTACATTTACGACTCTCAGATAATTTGTCTCTATATGGCAATAAAAGACCCGGCGCATTGCAGTGGTTACCGATTGTGAGACCAAGTAAAAACGAAAAGTCAGGAAGGTTACAGATCACGCTTGACACGACTACAACATCTATATATAGTGGTCTCGGCGTCCTCTGCGGTGTTTTTTATACGTGAAACAAAAAAAAAAGACGTAGACAGGCGCTGTCTGTGTGTAGGCTGTGTAGGCACTCGTGACATTGGTTGTCAATATATACGTATAATTTTCCTCTTCTCGCTCAAACATACTTCACCACATAGTCCCATATGGCCCGCGTTGCATTACGAAAATGATATGGGCATTACTCGTTCCAAAACGACGCCCGTAGTCAACGTGTGTTTTAGTTCCAGTTCAGAAATCGCATGCGTTCTCGGCCGTTCGGGGAGCTCTTGCCGTCGCCCTGGTATGACAGCCCCATAATACATCCTATGTCACATATATAGTCTATGCTTTAAACTATCATTGATTTTCATGGGGGGGCAACTATAAAACTTTTCACAGAAGTTCAGACAGGCAGCGGCATTTCTAGAAATATTCATTCTGTGGAACTATATAGACGAATAACCACGCCGTCCCTATACCGCCAAAGGTACCATAGTAGTAGTTCCAAAACGAAAAACCACGACTCATTCTTCATCTCGTATAACTTCTATACCGCTTCTTGGCACACCCGTTTATACACCCATAATGACATCTTTCATTTGTTTCCTCGACTTTAAAAAAAAACAGAGCCACAAAAAAGACGGTCATGGAACACAACTGCTTTGCTTTCATTCATCCGTCGTATTCCGCTGCAGGGTACGACTCCTGGTAGCCGGAAGATGCTACAGGTTCGCGGAAGTGACTCGCCACCCTTATGCGAGGCCCCAACGCGCGGCCCACATATGTGCACAGCGACGGAGGCAGCGAGTAAAAGAGCGTTCATTTAGCGTAGACATCAAGACCTTCTTTCACAAAGATGTGGAACAGTGGCGCATTTCTGCAGTCGAGAATGGAAACTGCAAAGCACTTGTGGTTCTCTCTCTCTCTGGCTCACAGTTAAGGCTTGCTGAAAGACGACATTTTCATGATATGTGCCTACCACAAAATTTGGCACTGCGAGCTCTGCGCTGAGTCCATCTAAAGACTGTTTTCAGCAAGACATATATGGGCGCTGCCACCTTGGATTTTTAAGCCGATGCTTTTCTGCCCTTGTACATTGCACCGTGAATTATTAACTCCATGAAACGCCATATGTACTAACCCAACCATTTGTATGAGTATGCGTCTACTGTAACACTTTTTCTTTGATTGTTGAAATGCAAAACACCGTGGTTAACAGCTCAGTATGACGGCACCGAAGCCCACCCATAAATTAGTCCATACTATACTATAACTGTCCAAATCACAGCCGTTCTATATAATCCGCCTTTTCTACGATGCCGATGCGCATGCACTCTTCCCTAGCGGAAAAGTCGCGAACGACTCCCGGTCTCAGTGGTCTTCGTTCTCGCAATGTCAGTTCTTCCAGGCCCTACCAAATCCTATAGCAAAACGCAATAGGGCAGCACAGGAAAGTGTCAAAGATGGATTCTTTCATTCATCTTTCCTTGTTTCAGAAGACGAGCTGGTCAGGGCACAATGTGGTTTCCATCTTTCCGTGAACAAAAATCTGTTGGGGAATATCAAGCTTCTGGAAGTCACTTGATTAGGAGAAAAAAAAACACTCCACTTGGCTCTTCGGGTCACTACAGCGCCTTGCTGCGCTTCTCTTTTGCATCTACTTCAGCGCTAAGCCACTGCCATCGTGCGCACTTTCCTACACGGACATCCCTATACCAGACTAAGATGGTCATGCTCTGCGTCCCACCGTTCCGGCCATGCGGAATTAGAGGCCGCGAGTGCTCCACTTCGCTTGCCATATTTGGCCCTGTACGAAATACTGCTTGCTTTTCTTGGGCATGCGTCGTGGTCACGCAGATTCACCTCCATAATTTCATTTTTTTTCGTTCGAGATTTGCAACTGCTCTGGCGTGGGAAGGTGCCCCACAACGCCTATGTATCTGTTCAACCTTCACGCCCGGAAGCATATTCCAGTCTAATCTACTTAACGGTCACTTACCCTACGACTTGTATCGGCATGGTTATCTCGCGCAGCGTAGTATTGCTCTTTTAGTTTTAGCGATTATGAATGTAGTTTGCTGCTGAGAGAAAGAAATACAGAGAACTATTTACTGAAAGGTGGAAAATTCAGCTGGAGCAGACAACTCACTGACTTCCTACTCTGTATATGGTAGGGTATTGGGAATGCAAAGCAAGAATAGGAGGTGCTAGAAAAGAAGCAAAACTAACACATAATACGATAATAGTAAACAAATAAACGAGTACAACAAGCATCGCAGCAACGAAACGTTAACGCATATATATATATATATATATATATATATATATATATATATATATATATATATATATATATATAAATATATATATATATATATATATATATATATATGCGTAGAGCAGTGTTCTACAATATTATCATGGCATTATTGTGTGACGTGAAGTTAAAGTGAGTAATGATACATACTAACAATAACAAAGAAATTATCGGCTGTAAACCATCCAGATGCTTCGAGATAAAGGTGTTGTATACTATACCTCATACCTAGCAGAGCTTCCTAATAGAACTGCCATTTCCATAATATGAGGGGGAGCAAAGTTTTGAGAGGTACCGGCCATACGTTTTTTTTTTTCTATATACGTACATAATTTGCGCCCTTACTGTATTTGCCATTCTTGTTTATCACTTTCTGTCAACATTTTATGTCTCCTTGTTATTTAAGCTAAACATTTATAACTACATGCATTTTATAACGATATGTTCTATAAACACCTATTTTTTTTGCTTTTATATCTTGAGTTTTACAGACATAACAAACCACATTATAACTATTTTTCGCGTGCTATTCAGGCGACACAGACCAAACAGCGTATATTTCCTTCAACACGCAATGCAAACTAAAAACGTGTGCTGAAGACCTTGCGTTGTTTCACATAGCATTCTTCCCTTGAACTACAAAGCCAGGGCTGCTAAAACAGGCGAGGCTACCAGTCCTATACGGTGTTAAACATCGCCGATAATTTAATAAAATTTTTATCATCCATCCATGCCGCTCAACAGACAGTTTTTTGCGTGCTTGGGTCTTTAGACCCACTTATTCAAATGTACGCAGCAGAGGAATGCCATTAACAGAGCGCAGGAAGTCGGGTATGTACCAAAGTGAATTATTCGTCTGTGAACGTAGCAGAATGCATCATTCGATACTGAAAGAGCGTTTAGTATAGTGAGGAGTGTATCTCCAATTAGGCAAATGCTATTCCACACGAGCGCGAAAAAGAGAGCGGGAGGAGGCAAAGTAACACGTTTTCTATGAAGTCGTCACAGAACTCGAAGGCGAAAAACATCACCTTGTTATTTTTTAGTTTCTTTTAGTTTCAGTAGGTTGTATCGATGACTTCATAGTAACGACACGAGCATCTTTCGTCACGTGACATTTTGTATCATTCGTAATGACTCTCAAAGTTTCTATCAATGAAGACAGTCACTTTTCGTCTTCGATGAGGCATCTAAAAGGTTTTAGCCGGAAAAAGTGGTGACGCTCGCGGGGCAAATCTCAAGTCACTTGCCTCTTGAAGTGGGACGCTGTTGACCCACGTGACCACCAAGCCGACCACCAACATGATGTACGCTGTTGCTTGTGCGATAATGTTCATCAGCGTTCGGAGGTATAACTATATAGGCTGACCCTGGGCACTTCGCCCCTGCAGGTGGGTCAGTATTTGGCTGAGATACCAAACCCTATCCCGCTACGCTGTACGTGTCTCAACGAACAAGTTCACTCCGATACGTTGCATGCGATTTCCCATGACGTCCACTTTCTTTCCTGCTCTGCATACCCTATCACGTGTAGATGGAATTCAAAATGCATCAAATGAAGGTGTTGGTACTGAGCTGACCATGCAGGCGCTGACAGATCGGCATTCTTGCAAACTCCTGTGAGTTGGAGATCTTGAAGCAATTTCCCTGTCGAGGGCAAGCTTTCGACATGATCGACTTCACTTTCGGCATGCGGACGTATGGGGAAAGTAGGTATTCGATAACCAATTCGGATTGGAAAGACGCCTGAAATATATATTTCTGAAGCCCCTATGTATACTGTGCAGAAATATAGGTGTGATTCCTGGAACCGATGGTGCATCACGCGCCTTTCAATTTCTGTGGTGATTACGATGTAGTTGTGGCTCGCTGAAGTATGGGCAAAGATCCCGTGACTCACTATATAACCAGCTAAGATCAGAAAACGATAGATGGTAAAAGGAACGTAGCTACACAATGCCGAAAGAGGGGAAGTGTAAGCAAGGAGAAAGAACAACAAATGTTCAGCGCATCTTATATCGAGCGTGAGTCAATATGATGTTTTTCGATAAAGTATCCCCACTGTGCACTCATTAAATGAATCACTTGGAGTCCGTGACTCGAGAGCGCAGAAACATTCAAGCATCGCTGACCTTTGAGATGTGACACGCCGGACTTGCAGGAGGACCCTGCCGTGCCGTCGTACGCTCCGGACTCGCTCAGGGCTCGCGAGAAGTGCTCGTCCACCACGGACGAGATGTCGCCGCTGTAGTACGTGAACACCACACAGTTGTCCGACACGTAATGCGCGTCGCCCGGCGCAGCACTCGTGCCACCTGGCACCACCGGAGGAGGTGTCGAGCCGCCACCGCTCACCACTGCGGCATGTCCTCCAGGTAGAGAAGAGGACGAAGTCGTGGCCTTGCTCCCCGGAACGGAGGACTCGTCGCGGTCGGGGCTTCTGGCAGCCAGGGGCGTCGAAGGCGACGACGACGACGCCACTACGGCACACGCCGACGAAGAAGAGGAAGAGCGACCACTGCTCCCGTGAGGACCGGAGGAATTGCCGCCGCTGTTGACGTTGTTGGCCGTGCTGCCACCACTCCCGCCATGGTGGTTGTGGTGGTGAGATCGCGAGTGGTGCGACGAAGAAGAACCCGTCGTAGACGATGACCGTGGTGGCCCCAGTGACTGCAGGGAGGATGGCGGTGTCGCGGGGGAAGCGCTGCTGGTTAACAGGTCGTGCATCTTGGGGTTCACGAACCGCTGCGGAGAAATAGAGGAAACTTATTCAAGAAAATGGTCCGAGGTATTGGGTAGCTAGGTTTCTCTATGTACAGGAAAAAGAAAAGAGTTTTGCACTGAGATGGAACAGCTGTGCAACATGCGTGCGCAGACGAATATCCCAGCGCTTACTTCACACAATGGCGCCCTGCAAGCGGCGTTCGATGGCGCGTTATTGATTTCGAATTGACTGCTCTGTTATGCATGGTGCCAACACTGAGCGGGATAGCTACAACCTTTGTTACTTGTTTAGCTAGTGAAAATACTAGCCTATGCGCAACAAGTCCTAGCACCGTGATTTTACACGAAAAAAAATTCAAATTCCTGTCTGGGCAACCGATAATGAAACTTTTAGTACTACTAATACAGACCGCATTTAAAGGATGTAGTATAGTAAATTTACATGGTTTAGTGCTAGTAGAATGAAACGCCCCATCTAACCGTCACATGTAACATTAACAGCATGAGCTACGGCTAGAGGTAGCTGAATTACGTCAACGGCCATGAAGGTGTTCGCTCAGCGTCAAGTGAGCAATCGAATATTGCACGCTGATGGGCACAAACTAATAGCAGTAGAAGTGGAAGTGCCAAAGGAAGCCTGCTTCATCTTGTTTTTAAATGCGAAGCATTTTTCAGCAAACTTCGGTGACTTTGAGCGTATCTATCTGTCTATCTATCTATCTATCTATCTATCTATCTATCTATCTATCTATCTATCTATCTATCTATCTATCTATCTATCTATCTATCTATCTATCTATCTATCTATCTATCTATCTATCTATCTATCTATCTATCTATCTATTCTATTCTATTCTATTTGCCGCCTATACGACTTTTAGCTCTCCTGGCCGTTTCCATAGTGTTATCGATACAGAAATTGGTATGTCATAACATGACTGTATGACGAGCATAAGTGACCAAATAAAACATGAAAATCATGACATGTATGTCAACAACATGATCATTTACATTTCATGCGGTGGTTTCGTTCACATGACATATTGCAAAACTGGTATGGCGAGACACGACTTTATGGCGAACATGAATGACAGATCCTCACGTAGAAATCATGACATGCATGTCATGTAGCTCAAGACTACACGCCATGCTCATGGTGCCTGCGCTCGGAGGCGTTTCGCTAGCTTCACATATACAAAATATGGTATCGATTGAGGTGTATGGACGACGAAGGTAAATGACACATCTGAACATGGTAATAATCATATTCGTGCCATAAAAACATGACTATATGCCACGCTTATAGCGTGCTCATGGCTGTTTCGCTAGCTTCACACATACCAAATTTCGTGTTACTTGACGTGAATAGACGACGAAGGTAAGTTACACGTCCAAACATAATAATCATGACATGGAAGTCATGTACGGGATAATTTACGTCCATCTTGTAACGTTGTGCTGATTTTCAAGATACATATCAATCTTCCTCATTTGTGCTTCGCATATCCTCGATTCCTACTGCACGTGGGATCTGCCAATTTTTTTCTAGCGTCCTAATGACAATATAAGGTGCGAACCACTTTTGGGGAATCGGGATGCTATATGCTCTCCTTGCTAGGCGTAACGGAGGCAAAACCGTGGCTAAAAAAAAAAAAAAAGCACGCGACAACAAGAAAGAGAGCGATCAGAAAAATAGAAAGAAAGTTAGAAACAAAGATGAAAAATAGAGAAGGCAAAAAAGAAAGAGAGGCGACAAAAAAAAAAAAAAGAAAACCCCGGAGAGAAACGAAGAGTGCTCCGAGCTTTGTTCAGGCTTAGAACCAGTAGCGCGAGACCACTTCATTTTTTTTAACTTGGTCTAACTAACACATAGGAACACATTTCGAGGGGGAAACGTGCGCCTACACGACGAAACAAAACGGGAGAGAAATGGGACCCGAAAATTCTTGGCGCTCCATGTGACGCCGACGTGCGCGTTTAGATTCGTAATCCGAAGAAGCGCCGAACGGGACTGGAATCGCGAGACACGGTTGCCTACCCACGAGTGCATACCCGTTCGAGCGTGTGCTGTATAGCCTCGCGAACTTCGCCCACAGCTTGTTGGCTTTGACCTTCGAGCGACACCGGAGCAAGGTCAGGGCCATTGTTCGAAGCCTGTCGCGCCGGTTGAATAGTGCGGCGTCTTCTTTCTTCAAAGGCTGCGCCACCACTCCGAGAGCGCCGGCAGATGACCGGTCGCGATAGACACTGAGCCAGAGGCGCCGGGCGCTCGGTCAGGCGTACATCATCGCGCACTAACTGATGAAGCAGGCAGTATCATCGAAGTAACTCTTGTAGGGATAGAGCTGTCACTTTTTCTTCTCTTTCCTTCGATGGCGCTGTTTTGAATCTCTGCTGCGGCCTCGTGGAGTGCGAGGCACTTGAAAGTTGGCCGACATTTACAAGAAATGCGGCGTTTTTCGATTACGATCTTTTTAATGGCTCTGTTACATGGTGGTTCAGCGGTATGCGAGATACGGGCATTAACACGCCGGCGCTCAATCGCACCACGTTGCGGCGCCTGACTTGTTTGCAGAGAGGAATGCCTCGTAGCGTACGTCGAAGGCTCGAGCAATCTGATCAAGGGTAAGTGTGTGTCCGTGCACGTACCGAATTTGATTTTCTAGTAGCCGGGGATTAATCGCATGTCGATGCGGTTATAATGTGCAGGAAGCTTTACTTTGACTGAGGGCACTGGAGCTAGAATACTTGCCGCATGGGGAGTATTCAGGTATACATGCCTGTCGGAAATGAACATTACTTAAGGAACAGCATTCTGAATAACACCTTTGTCAATACAATGAAATCACAGCATGTTTACAAAAATTCCTTTAAAAAGCAGTACTAAGAGATAATGTTGGCTCGCTTTTGATTAAAATGTGCAAAATTTTGCAGTGATAACGATCTTTGAGGTATTCACCAAGGCATAAAAGATTAGTTCACGTGGAGCAAGTCTTGTCTGGTTTGTTTCGAGTGAAAGACAACATTGGGAGTTCTGTTTGAAAGCCGCTAATGTCTCCTTGGCTTGTTTGATGACCCATGGACATAGATTATTTCACATTTTATATCACGTTCGTTTCTATTTCAGCTCTTTCGTGTAATTGTATGAATGACGAAGACGTGTACACATGTTACCTGCGCGTATGAGTTGGCAAGAAAATCACATATACAGTCAACTACTTCTAGAAATTTTTATTTATTCTGTGAAGACAACCGCGACACAAAAGTTTCGTTTTGATGTGCGTCAGACGGCTGAAACTCCTTATCCCCGAGCTGTTTCATTCAGTATAGTGAGACACTGAGCCACAAGCTGCGACTCAGATGTAGCAATGCACTAGTGAACTAATGTACTAATATAATGCTACTATTGACAAATATTGACCATTTATCTAATAAAAATACAACACCAGTGCTCGAAACAAAATCACAAAAAATTGTTTGCAACAAAAGTATTTTGCACATAATTATTCCTAATAATGCCCTGATGCTTATTCTTATATCCCATAATGCAGGCGAAGGAGCGTGATCCGATAATTCCAAAGAAAGAACTACGCATATAGCTTTAGGGGCATTTAGGCGAATTAAGTTATACAGATAAAAACGTAAGGGCAGCACTCTAAAAAAAAAGGGAGCGAGAATGGAGAAACGGGCTCCGTTGCTCCTTCGGCGCAGCGACTTCCTCCCTTTCAGGCGCTTTACCCGTCGCGCCCTCTCGCGGCAAGGACCAAAGGAGCAACGTTCCTCCTTCAGCGCTCAAGTTTCTCCTCATCACGGGGGTCTTGCTCGCGCGAATGCGCACGCCAAGCCTATAGCCGGCCGCGGCCAGTCGCGAGCGATTGCTTTTACCTAAGATTGTTGTAAGCAATGCAGGAGTGACGTTTTCTTTTGTTTTATTAGTGTAGAGTAAAAGCCTCTCTTTTTTATCGTCAGGCACTCGCACGATGCTCCGCACACTTCCATGTGTGTCTCGTGTTGTTTCATACTACCAATTTGTCACGAATACAAGGAGCTCTGCTTCCCAAGAAGTCTTGCTTTATCGATTACCTTAGAGTGTAAAAAAATAATGATTTTTTTCGGTGTCGACATACTTGGTAAGCTCACGCATTTTTAGTTTCGCACGGCACCAACAGCACTCGTGAATTCAACGAGGCGCGTAAAAAAGCATCACACTTTTCATCATTCTAGGAAACCTGATACCACTGTACACTCCATGCGTGAAAGTACGATCATATACAATTGATAGAGTTATACGTGCCACTACCGCCATATGGATGTTCTTTGCAGTTTACCCCCATTCGAATACGGCCGCCGTGGCCGCAAGTCGAACCTGCGTCCTCCAGCATAGTCGCACGACACCCAATAAGGCTACGCTACCACGGCAGGTGAAAGCACAAAGGGAAACAGGCTGCGAAGTTTCACCGAGTGTTTATTCGCCAGGCTAGGTTACAACCACCACAAACTTTTTAAACATCATAACTAAACTTTTGTGAAAAGTGAACCAATGACTTCTGTAGGTTAAACCAAATTCTGAATCGCATTCGTTTTGAATTGCCCATGCCAGCACTGAGAAGTAGGAAGGAATTATGCATTTGTGCAGTATGCCTTTCTCGTCCATGATTCTCCTTTGTCGTGAGAAACTCAACACAAAATGCACTTCTAGTAACAGCTGTGCACAGCAAGTGAGTACTAACGCTCACTCACCTTTGTGAAAAGAGTATTCCGAATCCAGAGTAATAACCACCACAGCCGCAGCGCTAACAACAAAATTGTGGCACGCACTATGATTGCCAGTTGACTCGCGAGGCGAATCGCGAGAGGCATCTGAAGCAGAAATGTATGCAGACACAACATTATATAAAGTTATAGTAAGCTTGCGCACTGCAGCGATAGTTCCTCCACTCAAGTATTAGAGCTGTCGCGACGCCAACAGCCACTGTCATAGCTCACGAAAAAATACCGTCGGATGCGAGGTCATCGCTTAT